CCGGCTGGTAGCTTCACGTTAAGTTTCGTTTTGTTTTCAATTGGAGCGCAATTTAATGGCCACTTTGGCACACATTCATTTTTTATTATTTTTTCATTTTTTATTATTTTTTCATTTTTTATTATTTTTTCATTTTTTATTATTTTTTCATTTTTTATTATTTTTTCATTTTTTATTATTTTTTCATTTTTTATTATTTTTTCATTTTTTAAGTATTATTTTGGTTTTATTATTTTTTCATTTTTTAAGTATTATTTTCTTTTAATATTTTTTAATTTATTTTATTTTAACTTTTTTTCTTTTTTATCTATTGTATTTATTTTTTATTTTATTTTTTATTCATTTTATTTTTTTTGTTAATTTTGATTTTAATTCATTTTACTTTTTATTCATATTATTTTTTTATCATTTTAATTTTTTTTCATTTTATTTTTTATTTATTTCATTTTTTTATCTTATTTTTTATATATTTTATTTTTCATATATTCTATTATTTATTTATTTTGTTTTATTTTTTCATTTATTGAAATTTTTTAGATAAATATTATTTGTTATGTCAATTCTTAAAATTTTTCGAAATTTGTTCTCAATTTTTTATTCTCTGTACCGATTTTTTACCACCTGACGAGTTATTCCTTCACTACTGTATAAAAATATTCATATGTGCCTATTTCTGATTTGTTATTATGTTTTGTTGTGTTTGCATGCACAACTCTTTGCATACAAAATGTTAAGTATTAGCTGAATAGAAAAAGGGATATATGTATATACATACTTATATATGAGTAAATACAGTTTCGAACACTTGACACATATGATATTTTTAATGTTTTGATTTTCAGGTATAAAAACGAAAACTTGGAGATCAAGATTAATTTAATTTACTAGGCAAAAAACGTGAAAACTGTAGAATATTTAAATATTGACTTCCTTATTTAGAATCATAGATCGGAATAAGGGATCGTTTAGAAAACTGTAAATAGAACACTATAATCAACAAAGTGTAGAGTTAAAACGGTTAAATTAAAATCACTATACAAATGAAAATATCTAAGCGTCAAATTTACATTCCATAATGAGATCGAAATAACTTCCAAAAGCCCACGGAAGACAGACTAGATGAGTTAAGTTGCATTAAGTGGCCCAAATGCAAATTAGAGTTTCACAACTGATATATGCTTTTGCACATCAGTTATGGAAAGAAGATTGGCACGAAAATCAATCGGATTCCATTAATTCACGAAATCATGAATCTTTTATTCTCTGCTTTCTTAATTTTATTTTAAATATTGACTATAAATTATTTGTCACCATTTGGCCTTTGTGTTTGTCGTCTTTTAAAAGGACCGAACGCATTCACAATAGTAAAAAAAAAACTGTCATGTATGCCAACCATATTGAAATTCACTAATGCAAATCAAATACACGAAATTGTATTGCCTTCATATCTGCATTTAGAAGATGATGATTCACCAGTTCGACTCTGTGTCTCCGTGTTACACCAAAGAAACAAAAAGTTTTTCTCAAAAGGCCAAAAAGCAGAAAAATGCCATTTTGGGAAATAGACTGAATTACCAGAAGATCATATTCGTTTTGTTCTTTTAGACATAAAAAGAGATAATATTCACTTGAATAATCTTTAATTGTCTAACCTTTTTGTTTTTATATTTTGAAAATGATTAATCCTAAAAAATGTCATTTCTATCGCACGGGGTCTGGCTCGTTCCAACAACTGTTGCCTCTAAAAACTAAGTTTTACTTAACGAATCTCCTAGTTAGTTAGTTGTTCTGATAGCCAGATGGCGCGTTTGGCCCTACTTGCCCTTTGCGATACCAATAAAGAGTATCTCTAAAGAACTCACAACTTAAAACTCTTGTGTGGAGTATCATTTGTGGATGTAAACTTATAATATTTGCATGGTTTCAGTGTAGTTTTCACACACTTAACACAAATAACAATTGTAAAAAATCACAGTTTATGCTTTTCATTGCAACTACCTCATACAACAAAAATATGAATTATTTAAGGATAAAACAGATTTTTTGTTTCATGTTTCTCCTCTCTTCCGTTATTCTTAATATTTTGCAAGTAGCATTTTACAGACTCTTACTCCACTATACATTTTGCTACTTTTTTATATATTTTATTTGTTTTTTTTTCACGCTAATGTTTTGTTCCGTCTGTTGTTGTGCCGGCTGGTAGCTTCACGTTAAGTTTCGTTTTGTTTTCAATTGGAGCGCAATTTAATGGCCACTTTGGCACACATGCTGAAATCTGCTCGGAATCACGCGTAGACAACAGCATTTGCAACGGCAGCAGTGGTGTAGAAGCATAAGCAGATGTAACAGCAGCAGCGTTGAATGATGAATTCTTTTTTGCTCAGCAACGTTTCTACACGCTCTTGCGTAGATAAAATCAGAAAAAAAACATATACTTGAATATACATTCATATGTATGCACGTAAAAGCCATAGAAGTACATTTATATGAAGCGATTTTCGGCCGAGCTCTTACTCCAATTTGTGGTGTACGTTTTGATGTTTTTGCAACAAATGGAGGGACCTACAGTTTATACTAAGCCGCCTCCAAACGGCTGATGGTTTTTATATTTCATGCCAGAAATACATTTGAAACAAAAATAAATTTTCTATGATTTTGCATGCTGGTCGGACCAGGAACAATGGCCTTTAGAATAGTAGTACGCACTGCTAATCAATAGGCTATTGGCGCGGTTGCGTCGTTAAATTTTGTGCTGTCACAAAGCTTAGCCCGCACAGCTACGACAGACCTTTTGCAGAGCAGTTTTTAGAAGAGTTGTTTAAGAATTTGTTCGACCTCTAACAGGTTTAAGGAAATATTTATTGCAAGACGTTGTTAATTGGGTCCTCTGTTATTAAGTTAAGTAGGAGCGTATTCGAGAAGTCCTGTCCCTGCCAGCCTTTGTTACGATTTCAGCAAAAAACGAGAATGTACTAATCGGCAGATGTCTACACAATATATCGGGATGAACGTCACTTTACCCACTCCCAAAAACCGGTTACGTATCCCAATCTAACCCAGTTCAAATCATTATATATTCTGGGACCTGATACACGTTGGGTGTGTTAAAAGTAGAGCTCTAGATATTTGGAAAAAAGTAAAAATTTTTATTCACAATGCTTACAAAAGCTCGAATTGCTCAAGCACGAAAATTTTCGATCAAATCGTGAGCTCTAGTTAAAAGTCACCATTTCAATCTATTCAAACTATTGAGTCGAAAGAACATTGCTATGAATAAATTTCATTCTTCCTTCAAAATTATTTTATCTTACCTTTTTGTTGACAGTTTGTTGATAAATCTGGAAAGAGGTAAGCAAATTATATTGATTATATGAGTTTAAAGTGAAAATTAAAAAAAATAAATTAAAATTTTTTACTAAGAAACAACGGTTCAGGGTTTTACTATTTACTCACCGATAAAATCATTACATACTTATACATAAAATACTTATTAATATAAAAATTATATTATTTTTGAACTCTTATATCTGAATAACAAATTTTCTAAAAATTTCTTGAAAAATAACACCAAAATCTCTCCATTATCTCTCTATTATTTCCCCCTAAAAAGCACAGTAAATTACTTTTTAATGTAGGCACAAGCATAATAGTACATATATACTCGTACATATCTGTATACATAAATACTATTATGCTATATATTTGATTACGCGTAAAGTTGTGATATATGAATTGTGCGGCAAACTCTTAACACAAACACAAAAGATATACATAAAAATTCTACACACGCAATCCAAAGATAAAAAGAGTTGGTATTGATTTTTTATTTTTGAAAGAAGCACAGCTGGAGACCAACTTAGCCGAGTAATGAAATTAAAATAATAAAATAAAAAAAGGAAAAAATTAACTGAACAAAAAGTCTAAAAACTGAATAAATATTGCGGAGAAAGGAGAAATTTTAAATTAAAATTTAAGTAAAAACGGAACGAAAAACTGTGTCTAGTTTACTTGAAAATACATATTTTAACCAGTAAATATTCAGAAAAATAAATTGCGAAAAGCATATAAAATAAAACAAACAGAAATTAAATAAAGCAAGTTGAACATAAAAGCCATATAAATAAAATAAGGAATAACCAAACTTGCCCAATAATAAAAAACGCAATTGCCGTAGAGGAAGAAGGAATGAAGGAATAATAATAGGCCTAGGCAAAGAACGAGCGGCGAACCTCCTGCATTACTGATGAGACATTTTACGGAGGCTTGTCTTTTTTGCTCGCGGCAGTGACATTTTCACCGAAGTCAGCAAACAGACGCAAACACGCAACTTCAACAAACATACACGTATGTACATACTTATAATTTTAGTCGCGTGAGACGCATTGAATAGGAAATAAAATTCATTGTTTAAACCAAAGAGTGGGTGTGAGCATATTGCTTGGGAAGCCAGAAGAATACGAATACGACAAAATACTGTAGCTGTGCAAATATATATATTTATGGATATTTTTATATGCCTTTGATATCTATCTCGAGGAAATGTGATTAAGGAAGTTGCGTTTTCACTTTCTTATTTACATACATACAGACAATGTACAGGGTTATCCATTTTACGGTTTCGAAAATAAACGTAAATTTAATACATTCAAATGATCCTCTCGCGAAATTTTGCAAACTTCGATCTGTTCGAGGTAATTTTCGACCACTTTTTGGCACTTATTGAGCGGAATCTCAGCCATGACTTCATTAAAAGGAACACGTAGCGCCACCAAAAAAGTCCAGAAGTCCAGCGGTGGCAAAACCAGAGCGCACCAGACAGTATGTTTTTTGGCTGTAATGACATCGCCGTCCACAAGCCCCCAATCAATATATGTGCGGCGTTGTGAAAGATTAATGGGTTTTGTCTATGTTTTCACTTACAACAGCGACATTTGAGGCGAAAAGAGTAAAACGATGATGCAAAGGCCTTAGAATATCTGTAACCGATCAGGACTCTTAAAATTTCTCTCAAATTTTACCATTTTTGTTGTAGGTTTCAACATTTTTACCGCTATGTGTGGTTGTTAAGCTATCCATTTCAATAAATGCCTGGCTTCTAACTAAAACAAAATAAATTTGGTTTGACAGTTAAGTTTAACAGATGATGAAAACACAAAATGAATAACCCTATAGAAGAAATTACACTTGCAAATTTAGTACAAACAAAATAAAGCAAAGAAAAAGAAAATGTTTACTCGATTGTCATCGATGCCTTACTCTAAATTGGGTTATCCCTTTGTCTGATGAATGTTGAAAGGTTAACTCGTAGATAAAAAGCATTGCGTAATGTAAGTTATATATATATATATATATATATATATATGTGGTATAATTGCGCTTTGTAGTCGATCTAGCGATTTTCTGCCGAACTCCTCCTCTGATTTTTAGTGTGCGTCTTAATGATAAACGAGAAGGCCGAATACTTATACGCGTGTCTCTTAAGAATCGCAAAAAATCTTCTTCTGCCTTTGCAGCTGATCTTTCGGATGAATTTAGTAAACCAGTTAGTGCTCGAACAGCTAGAAGAAGACTTCTGAAAGCAAGTTTAAAAGGATGTAAAGACCAAAAAAAGCCGTGGCTCTCAGAAAAGAATAGGAAAAATCGTTTTGAATGGGCTCGCCGATACCAACATTTCACGGAAGAAGATTGGTCGAATGTTCTATGATCTAATGAATGAGACTTCGGTGTAAGTTAAGATCGTCTTAAAGTATTTTCAACCATAGCTTCTTACGGCGATACTAATTTAGACGGAGCTCAATTTCATCAAGACAACATTGTTTTGTTGGATTGGCCTGCACAGTCTCCAGATTATAATCCCATTGAGCACATGTGGCTATTTTAAAACGCAAGATTAAGGAACACAGTATAACATCAAAGAAGTGCGGACGAATGTGCAAAGCTTGTAGGCAGCATGCCTAAGAGAATTGCTAGCGTTATTATATCGAAAGGTGGACCTACTAAATATTAATGACATTATCATTAATTCATTGTATTTTCACTGTTTTACTAATAAAACTTCATTATTTCACTTGTTAAAACAAAAAAAAACAGTAATTAGTGGGGTGCCTAATACTTTTGGCCAAGACTGTATATTATATTATATAATATAAAACTAAATCAAGAAACATACAATGCTTCCACAAAACTCAATAAAATATTCAAACATTTACTAAATTCAGTTTTTTCTATATTATTTCCAACTTTATATTAAACTAAAAAACAATTGAAAAACCAACCACTAACACAAAATTTCTGCACCCCCTGCGGGTTAGGGGCTCAAGAATTTACCCACGGTAAGGCATGCCTGTCGTAAGAGGCGACTAAAATCCAATAGTTCCCGTGACAGTCGGGTCTTTATACCGGAACGACCCGGATTTCTATCCGGCCAAGGACTGTTACTCCCGCAACATTCCCCAAAAATTACTTTGGGGAATAATTTTGCGGTTGCAACAACAACAACAGCAAAATTTCTGCGACAAAACTAAAACACATTAGTATCTATATAAAAGCTGCTCGCAATGATAACTCGTCATAGGATGGCTTATATCTAATCATAATTCACTTTGCATTGATCAGCCCGATATTAAGAGCTATTTTTAAACTGCGCGGATAACGATTAGGGGATTTTCAGGACAACCAGCTGCATGAGACGGCAGAAAGAAGTAAAATTTAATGTTCAGGAAAAACTCTGTCTTGAATTTTAAATTCTTTAACCGTATTTATGTCCGATCCATCTTCATTAAATTCATTTATAATTTATTTACGTAAGATTTTATTTAACGATTTTATTAAACGATTTTGCTTTAGCCCCGAAAGTATAATTAAATGCGATCGAAAGTAATCTTAGTATGAAAGTATGTATAGAAAATTAGATTTTGGGTCAAAACAGTCTTTATTAATATTTGAGCATTTCGGTGCAGAAAGAGCAAGTAATTTTGATATTTTACTTTGGTTATAATATGTATCACACTGTAAATACTAATAGTTTCCAGGTGAGGCCGAGGAATAATTACAAAAGTAAAATGTATTGTATTTAGATGAATTAAGAAGAAGAGAGTAAAGTTAGAGAGAGAGAGAGAGTTTTAACCTGTTTAGTATTTTTTATGCTAAAACAAAATTTTCAAAAAACAAAAAGAAATCGAGGTAATAATAATATTAACGTTTACCAATAGGGTTCGCGAGTTCGTTGAGGCTTTACCAGCCTTTAGTAGTGAATTGGCGGCCACGTTAGCCGGGTAGTTAGCGTACTGCCTTTCGGAAGGACCGGGTTCAAACCCTGGTACGACCAACATCCAAAAGTTATAGAAAATTAATTTAACATAAAAAAAATTAAATTAAATTTCCTAATTGCGGGCGCCCCTCGATAGAGAATGTCAACCCATCCGTTTGCACTTCTGACATGAAATAAAAGCTCCTCATAAAAAAACCATCAGCCGTTCGGAGGCGGCTCAGTATAAACTTTACGGAGGGCCGCTTTTGGAAAACACATCAAGACGCAAAACCACAATTGGATTGGAGCTCGGCCTCGCTACATCGGTTACAAAGAGAAGTGTTTTTATCCAAATACTGCCCCAAAACTTTAGGAATACTTAGATGAAGCTGCTTCACTACGTTACGTTTTGGGTCGAGATTTAAGGGTTTAAAAGCTCCAGCAAATTTTTTTCGATGATATTTTATTTATCTTACATTTTTTTGTACAATTCCACTTGTCCATGTATTGTACATCGTTTAAATGCTTTCCTAAAGAAGGTTTCTGAGAAATAAATCCCTAACTAAGGAACAAAGCTCAACTTTTAATTGTGAAAATTTTAGTTAAAATGTTAAGATGTTTTTGTTGAAAATTTAGTTTTAATTCAGATAGGTATATGAAACATTTTTTTAATAACTTTCACAGAACAATAACTATCTGATGCGACAAAATCAAAGAAACCAGACTAACATTAAAAATTTGTAGCTGTGGGTGTGAGTTTTCAAAAAAAAATTACCCAAGTACAGGGTGATTTTAGCGGAAGCCGAATGTTATCAGCGCAAGAACCGATATTGGACGAACAGATAACGTGAAATTTACTAAGTATTTACAAATAAAACCTACATACACACGCATTACAAATAACGAACATAAAAAATCAATCAGTCCATAGATATTTATCACTTATTGTGCTACAAAGCTGCATGTAAAAAAAATTTTAAAAATTTATATAAAAATTGTACATACTATTATTTGTGTATGTTTGTTAGTGTTTAGATGCATATTTTTGATTACATGTGACACCATAATGGCTGCCCAGCGCTGGGCGGA